TTTTTTTTTTTTTTTTTACATCAATTAGATTCAAATAAATCTCGTATCATTTAATAAACGACCAAACCAATCAGTATGACGGACTTTCTTTTTCGCAATTGCATAAAAGGCACGGGTATCTTCGCTGAAATTAATTATGTTAATTTATCTGTTTTAATTGTTACTATTTAGATTACAACGGCTGTTCTAGTATTAACATCACTCGAGTCAACAATGTAATTTTCGTGCGACTGTGAAAATTTGGAAATTGAAGGATTACGTAAGATGCAAAGATCTCTAGTGGCTATTGTGCAACATAAAATTCGAAAACGTAAAGAGGATAATCGTGGAAGGCACAGCGTCTCTTTGGAAGGATAGAGTCTGTGCGTGAACTTTCACCAAAGTAACGCGGTGTTTCTGCGTTCGTCATCGTGTTCCGAGTGCTGCACACTTTCCAGCGACTTGTCCCGTTTCCTCTTCGTTGTTGTTTACTGCCTCGCCGAATGGGACAGGAATAAAGGCACGGAATAAGCCGAGGCGGCCATCGCTCGTAAGCTTCCCTCTTTACGAGGATGACTCGACCGCAGACAAGACTCTCCCGCCCTTTTCTAAACCCGTTAAAAACGAACCGAAACGCTCTCCGTCTCGCAGGAAATCGCCGTCACCTCGCCGAGTTTGCTCGAAACGAAAAATAATCGAATTGTTTGTCAATTGTCAACTCGATCGATTCGACTATTCGGCAAGTCAGGGATTTCTTCTAAAAATTTTAGGGAGATCTTGGGGGAAATTTCGATTTTTGTCGGTGGGGAGAATTTTCATTTCCTGGAAAATTCTGTATTGCTGATTCAATTTTCGTTTCATTCTTAAAAATTTTGATCATGATCTTTAGGTGAAATACTACGGGAACTTTATATATTTTATTTAAATTAAGTTAAAGCTAAATCAGGAATTAGATAAATATTTAATCAAAGTTCGCGCAGATACTTTTAATCGAGATTTCAATCAAAATCCTCGAATAATCTACGGAAGTTCTGTACTAAATTAAAAATTCTGCTCAAAATTCAAGGATTCAAAAATTTTAATTAAAGAGTCGAAGTCGTTCAAAGTTCTTGAAAGTTTGCATGAAATTTAAGACGAGGAAGGATCATAATTATTCAATCTCTCAATAATTCATGCAGGAAATTGATAAAAATCTGTCAATCAATTCGTGGAATATCGGATGATATAGAATTTCATTTAATTCTACATCCACTTTCAATAAATACAATAAATTCGTTAGTACAATTTTATTAACTTGAAATAACTGAACGTATCACGCTCATACAATCTCGTACTTGTCTATCGTGCTCGATTACAATTAAAAATACTACGTCAATACTGTCCGTTTTTCTTTTTCTTTTTTTTTTTTTTTCGTTCTGTTTTTCTCGCCACGGAGAAAATTATATTCAGTTAGTAGAATTTTTACGTTTTTTTCTCTCTCTCTCTCTCTTCGTGTGTTGCTTTTTAAAGGAAAAACAAAAAGTGAAAAAGAAAGAACAAAAAAGGACAGGGTCTACGTAGGCACGTTTTATTATCAATTAGTAATCCCTCCACACTTTTTTTTCCTCTTCGTTCAAACGATCCGATGCTCGCAACAATACTTGTTCAACACCGATGGAATTATCTCAGGACAGAATTAGAAAATTCGTGGAGTCGATGGACTTGTATAACAGTCGATAATTATCCTCCCCTCGTCACTAACTTACAAACGATATACAAAATATATGTATAATATATATATCGAAGCGACAAAACGAAACTAACGAATCATTTACTAGTCGTCGGCTAAATATGAGAACAGTACAAATAAAACGATAAAAATTACAGTCACTCGAAAAACTGATCGAGTCTGAATCCCGATTCAATTCTTATTGAACGACGTTTCAAGACAATTTTCAGAGTTCCTGATGTTGTACTTTATAATACTTTTATAATACTCGTTTCGATGAAAGTATGGCTTATTCTTCTCGTTTGATTCTTTCGTGGATATTTTGATTACGTACTCAGAAATCGAAATTGCAATTATTATATTTTTTGCTTTATACATAGATATTTATATTGATAGCACGAAAGCAGCACGTTTTTGAAAGAATTCGTATTTCTATGCGTATGTTTAAAGAGAAGCAAACTCGTCTGATTCTGAGTAACTGAGAAAATTTGACGATCACAGTGGATAAGGATTTGGAAAATCTGAGCAGACGAAATCAATTTTTTGAGTGACTGTATAACTAGCCCATCTGGTTTGATCGCGTCGTCGTGCACCAGTGGTGTTTTTACTATTTACAGGAGAATATAGCATCATTTTTATATCGCCGTCTTCGTCTCGTTTCGCTACGGTTCATCTTCGGTATGCATCCGAGGAATTTTCCTCTTTTGGCAAAAATCAGAAAGCTTTCTATTGATCAAAATTCCCTCCTTCAATTTGCTCGTTCGAAGAAGAATTTAATCATTCTTTCATCTTAGGCGATCTGTTACTAGCTTGGAAACTCAAAGATCGTCGATCTTTAAATCTTAACACATTAATTACGCCTTTGTTTTTTATAGTAATAACAGTTACCCTCTGATTTATCCGGTTCGTGGATGAAATAACGTGTTCGAGAAAGAAACATTTTGACAGGCAAATCTAGAAGATAACGTGTAATTCGTTTCCCTGTTCGTGGAAGTTCTCGGTTTCGCTTCCGGAAATGTTAAGGCAGAAGAATCACTCT